CAGCAGGAAGCTAATGTGGACACACAGCTTACAGATACCAGGATCAAAAGGTGTTCCCTAAGAAACAAAACCCAGAAATGTGACTCTGAAAAAAGGATTTATATAGAGTTTGGTAAGATCTGTTGTAGATCCACAGTAGTTGATCTCATGTATAGTGCCTGCAAAGCAGCAAAAGGTGGTGAAGTTCAGAGTCTTCATAAACACTAATTTCTTTTTAACAGCCAAAATGTGAGCAAAGACACATGATGAACTGTTCTAAGTTGGTGAATCAAAGGTGTTTTTTACATAATCTATTATATTGTAGGAAATAATGCTGCTGTAGTAAACCTTTAAGGCTTGGTGTACAAGATCCAAGCAAAAGAAGCTTACAGATGTGGTAGAAATTGTTATAACTAATGATAACTACTGGTTTTTAAAGAATATAAAGCCTTGTCATCAGTGCTTGAGGCTCTAGTTAATAATCAGAGATAAGAATGAAATGTAAACTAGAAAAGAATATTTCATTTCTGTCTATCTTAACTTTTCAGAACTTCCTTTTTATCTGGTGCTGACTGCTGCAAGAAACAAGATAGATGTTGTGCATAGTTTTTCTTCTTGTTCCTTCAAGAAAGGAATTGCTTCTTTCAACAGATAGTTTTCATTGCCTTTGTTTTGTCCTCATTACTTCTGCCAAGATCAAAGTATCTGAAAAAGATGGTTGAACATATTACTCTGAATTCCAGTTCAAAATTCTAAATACTAGCAGCTGTTTCATTTATAAAGTTAGAAATTAGAAGCTAAATCTTGGCTAATTAACTCTTAGTAGCTCTCTGTTATGAGTCACTGTATTATAAGTTTTATGCTGGAGCCATATAGATATTTATATAAAGAAATCATAATTTGGTAAAATGCTGCACAATTGAACTTGATTTTATCTGACGAAAGTTGAAAGCATCTACCTGTAGAAAGATCTAAGCATGCATGCTACCTTGAAAATAAACACTGAATCTGGCAAAGTCATCTTTGTTTGAATCATTTCAACCAGAGTAACAGCTGATTTGTTTTTAGGCTCTGATTCATCTGAAGAACTTTTTAAACAGGCAAGCAATACTGGGTAAGTCAAGGTGTTTAAGGAATTTTCTAAAGCCAGTAGTTCACCATTCTCATTCCTATGCTTTAGTTTCTTAGCGTAGGACTGATAGAATTCTTCAAGCTGACAAGTGATCTTCAAATTTGAGGGCATCAGGGTAGAATGGGTAGCTGACTGCCATCAGTTTGTCATATAATGTGCTTTAAAGCTGTTTTCTAAATGAAAAGCTCCTTACACAGACATTAGATCTTCAAGAGAAAAACGTACTCTGTTTAGAAAGATAATGTTAAAATTCAGGAATGTGGGAGGGATTCTTTTTTTAAAGAAAAGGCTTGAAACTGAAGGGACCTAGCTATGGTGAGTGTCAGTCATGCGGCCTGACTCCTCCAATAATTGCTTCAGAGAGGAAAAGTTAAGTGTCGTCTTCTATTGTGGTTTGCTCTGTAATGAAAGTATATTTCCCTTCCCAGCAGGCTAGGAGGCAACAAAGCACTCCAGATTTCATTTCAAGAAAAGCTGGAAGAACTTAAGAGTGCCAAGAAAGGGAATGAATATTCTTGTGATACGCAGCCTGACAAGCCAGGTACTGATGAAACGACTCCACCAGATGTCATAGGTGTGTTTGTTGTTTTCATGGCAAAAATGATGAAGCTTGGAAAAAAGGTCACAAGTTAACATTTTTATTTCATATGATTAAATATATATACTTGCAGTCTTGTATATTGTGGTTTTGTTGATGCCTACAGCTAGTGGCAGTATAATGCAAGACTATACCTGTAGACTAGGCACTTAAAATGTGGGTGTTCTGTGCACAGGAGCAGAAGGGAAGAAGGTAACTTGATTGAAGTGCAAAACTTATCCTATTCTACGCCAGCCATATTGCCCTTTATAATACAAGTTGATAGCACTGTCTGATAATTTATGTAAGAAGTTGGATGAGCACGTGTCACATGTAATTTGATCTTCCTTTCTCTAGAGGGAGATGTGTGCAGTGTAATATTCTGGTTTTGAGGGGAAATAAGAACAGTCCTTTTAAAACAAAGTAGCCATTAAGCTTGTTATTGTTCTTGTGTATGTAAAATAGGGCTTAATCATTTCTTATACCTTTAATCTTCAGATGAAAGTAATTTCTCAAAGGAAGGCTTGAGCAAGAAAAGCACCCAGAGCATCACTGAATACGCCAAACCTGGCCAAGTGAATATGACTGAATACCAGAGTTCTCCTTTAAATGTTCTTGCTGTAGACCTGCTCACAGAACAGTGTGACAGAATAGGGAATGCCAGTCCCTTAAGGAATGTGGACACATCTTTCTTTAAGAACACAAAAGAAATGGATGCTGAGCAAACTAAGTGCAATAGTAAAAGCAAAGAGCTTGACTTAAAAGATAGCTCAGAAAGTGGGTTGGATAAAAGCAAGGAAATAAATGTTGTAAAAAGTGTGGAAGCTGTGGAAATGTATGAAGCTGAGAATGATTCTTTCCATGAAAAAGCACTTCCTCTGGAGAAGGTACTTCAGCCAGAGACAGGTCATGGTGCTACGCTGAAGGAAGTCTCTAGGAAGAGACTGAAGCAAAGCATTCAGAAAGTCAATGAATGGTTTTCAAAAAAGAACAAGATTCTGTCTTCCAATTCTTCCCAGGATGATTCTGCTGGAGCAACTGATGTTTCAGATGAAGGAGATACGTGTTTATCAGATAAAGATTCCTGTATTTCAGAAAAGACTGACTCTATGGTAGATTCCATGGAAATTACAGTGGTTGAAGGAAACCAGAGGCGGTCAAAACAAACAGCAGATGACATCAAAGACAAAATATTTGGGAAAACATATAAGAGAGAAAGGAAGTCACATCCTCCTGTTACCTTGAGAGACGTTTTACCTACTACAACAAAAGATGATGTGGCTGCTGCTAAGTGCTTAAATAATTGCAGCAAAGATGGACTAAAACGAAAAAGAAGGACTGCCCGTGTCCTGCAACCTGAGGATTTCATCAAGAAAAAAGATACAGAAGAGGCAGATGGCTGCCCTCACAGTGTTAACTGGTGCCTCGGAGATGCTGAAGATAAAAAATGTGATGAAAGTTCTGCTGTTAATGAGAGTCACCTCTCTGAGAATAGAAAGGATAATACACTAGCAGAAGTTGAGGAAGGAGGAGGAGGCATACGGAAGAAAGCTACAGAAAAGGTAACTGGCAAGCACTGTGATGGGGAGGTAGAACTGAGTAACTGTGATCAGAAAAGCACTAAAAAAAGAAGTTCTGCAGCAAATAGATGCAGGCGTTCTACTAGAACCATGTGTGCTCTACAGTTAGTGGATAGAAACTCTGTTTCCCCTGATCCAGTTGAGCCACAGATTGATAGCTATCCAAGCAGTGAAGAACCAAGGAAAGCTGATTCCAAGCAAAGACAAGTCAGGTGCAGCAGGAGGCTTCAATTACTTTCTGAAGAAATTACAAACGAAACAGGAAAAGGAGTAGAAATTAAGGGACCAAGAAAGTTTGATAGTGATCATGAAGGATCTTTCTCTGGAGTCCAAAGAAATGTGTTGGTTCACGCTTCTGAATGCAAAGACTTGTGTGAGCCCCCAGGTACACTGAGTTACAGGCCACTCACTAATCTGAAGGGTGGTGATCTGGTAGCGAGTGAAATACAGATTAGCCTGAAGAATACATCTGACACTACAGAAGCTGGAAGAAGTCTCTTCAAGCCTACATCTTCATGTCAGCATTCGAACTGTAGTTCCTTTGCACCTGATGCAGGCTCTCAAGAGAGTGAAATACAAGATAGCCCTTTATTCCTACAGCCTCCTTCAATGGCTGCTGTGCAAACTGCTTCTCACCCAGCTCAAGACGGGACTGAATCATGTGCTACCTTTCCCCAGGATGTTGGATGTGATATGCAAAGTGTTCCAGGGGACTTCAAAACTGAAAAGCTGCCTATGGCTAAAAATGTTTTGGAATTGACTAAGGAAGCTGAAGACAGTGAGTTAGACACACAATATCTGCGAAATATAATCAGGCATTCAAAACGCCAATCATTTAGCCTTTATCCTACTCCTGTGAAGGTACATGCAGTAGAAGATCCTGCTTATGAAACTTTAAAGGTACCACGTGCTGATCAGGTAGAAAAGAAGCATAGCAAATATTCAAAACCAGAAAACTTGCAAGAAGAGAAAACAACTGCTGAAAGCTTGAGTAGGGTTTGTGAGGAAGAGAAACTTAAGACCTATGAATCTGCTTGCGTTAGTCCCGTGTCTTGCTTTGTTGACAGCACTGAATGTATATTCTCAGAGGATTATCAAGATGTTTCACAGGTTGCAAATCAAAGGACTCTGACACCAAAAAGAATGGGTACTTCTAGGACTGAAGACAAAAACAGATTGCAAAAAGGAGAGCAGGGAAATGAAAAGACAGTGTCAGCTGACATGGGGATAGAGAGCGAGTTGAGACAGAATCCAATGAAAAGTAGTAGAAGCCAAAGTGATCAGAGTAATACAGATGGGAACATTTTCAAAGGAACAGTTTTAAGCACAGTTGAAGTAAGCTTCAGTTCAGAAAGCAAACAAGCAGGAACAGCCAAAGCTGTTGATGGCAAAGGACCAATACTACATTTTCAGTCCAGATCAATGGTCTGTCCTGCAACTTGTCAGCAAAGGCCTACTGGACTCAGCTGCAAAGTCATTGGGAAAAAAAGCAGCAAAAGGGAAAGAAAACAAGTGAAGGGGAATGAAGAACAAGCAACCCAAACTGCTAGCACAGAGATGCCTGGGTGTTTAGTTACAGACGCTCCAGAAGAACCTCTTAAAGGGAGCAGTGATTTTACAGGTTTGTCTGAAACCCCTAATGGCTTACTGTGCTCTGATGACTCTGAAGAGAACACCAGCTTCTCTGAAACTGATAGGAGAGAGAGATCTGCTGTGTTTGTAAAAAGTGACAGTGCCCAAGCAAAAGAACTACACAAGAGCAACGTTAGTTCTCAGCCAAGATCTCAAGGTATTAAAAGATCTCGAAGAAGAACAGCACAGAAACTGCAATCTTCAGATGAAGAATCTAGTGAGGATGAAGATTTACCGTGTTTTCAGACATTAATATTTGGCAAATCAGTAAGCACTCCTTTGCAGATCGATAAACAAGTGACATCTGTGGTAGAGTCTTCAGTAAGTCCCATCACATTGCCTCACAGTCAGAGTCATGATGATAATATGCAGAGAATGCCTGAAGCTGCCCTAAGTAGTGGGTGCATTTCACCAAGTCAGGAGTCAGAGTGCTCTGTCAACTTATTTTCTTCTCAGTCCAACATGTCTGAAGAATCAATTGATCAAGCACAAGAGCTGAAGAAACCTTTAATACAAGCAAATACATCCAAACAAGTGAGTAATGTAAATGAGAATAAAGAAACTTCCCAAAGTTGTGATGGAGAGTTGAAGAGAAACAAAACTAACTTCAAAGGTGAATGCCAAGAAGACCCGAACACGGGAGCAAACTTGGGTAGGAACCAAGATTTTTATCTCTGCATCTATGTTTGTAATGTAATTGCACCTAAGTTTTTGGTGTTTGCATGGGAACTTTGTTCTGTATGAATGTGGTGCTTTCTCTTTTAAAGGAACGTATCAGCCTTGAACAATCAAACAAAAGCCCTCTGATTTATTTCTTAAAATTTGAGTTCTGCCAGTATTCTTTGTTCAAAGCAAAACTTCATAAAAATTAATGCTCAGACTCAGTCCAGCTTCTGGTGCCCAGTTTGAGTGAAGTGCTGGCTTTCTTACTGCAATGTGATACTTGCATCTGTCAGCAACATCTTGTAAAGCCTACCTAATCTGTTTCCTGGGATGAAATGTTTGCTGAAATTGACTGGAGAATTTTGTAGTGTTTATTTTGACCTCTATGGCTTTCATAAATACTTTTAACTCTTTCATCACTATTGAAACACTCTGAGTTATCTTTACTTTTGTTGGGTTATTGTTTTTGTCTTTAACTCGGCTTTCTCTTCCATGTTCTTCAAGGTGAAGCATCTGGTTATGACAGTGAAACAAGTTATGTAGAAGATTCATGTGGACCATTCTCTCAGGGTGAAATCCTTACTACACAGGTAAGTGAGTGTATGCACTAAATTCTGAAAGTGGTTTGCATGCTAAGTTATAAGCAAGTACATGAAAGCTGTGAGGTCAGCGTAATAGGAAATTGCTTTCATTGTAATTCTTTCTATTGCTAGATTGCTTCCAAGAGCGTAATTGAGGAAGACTCATAGAACTGCTTCAATGCCATTATTTATCCAACTTTGCTTTCCTACATTCTAATAGCCACAACTTGTTATGTGGTATTGATTACAGTGCTTAACTGTGAGAGATGTGAGCTAATTAATCTCCACACTTGAACAATGCTGGAAACCTCAGCTTCCTGTATTTAAAAGCTTCACTGATAGGAATTCAGAATGATTGGTGTTAAGATGGAGACTTGCCTTCTCAGGGTAAAGAGTAAAGCAAATCATTCTGCATTAGAATACTATAGCTATAAGACCAAACAGGTAGTGTCCAGTGAAAGGCATATCTAGCACAGTGTGCTCCTTGCACAATATGTTTTCTCTACTATTAATTTCCTGATTACAGCTTAATGGTCTGACTTTATGTATTGAGTGATTGGTATAGGGATCTTCTGGTTGGTGGCTTTTTCTTTAGGTGTTTTGATTTGGTTTTGGTTTTTTTTTTTCTGTCCTCTAACTTCAGGGTATATCTTATGTCAAATCTCTCACTTCAGCATTAACAGCCCTATGGGTTTTAATGTATATCAGAGAAGACTGAAGTTCACTGATAGAGATTCTAGGATATTCCTAGGTTGGATGGAACAGTGGCAGCATGGATCAGTGGGGAGTCTTGGTTTGTTGTGTGGCAAGGGTTTTCTGTTTGAGAGCTTTTTATTAATTCAGTAGCAAGGAGGTTCCACATGGTGCCAGTGCTGGAGTACAAATATTCAGTGCTGTGGAATCATCTTTATCCTGCATGGTGAAGGTTTTAGGATTTTAGAAGGATCCTTTGAAGCCTTGAGCTCTTCTTACAAGGAGGTGTATATGGCATGTTTTTAGTAGAGAGCATTGTCATTTTTGAGAAAGTAAGGAAAAGTAGGATGAAATACTTTATTCCTTTTGCACAGTCTTTGGGGCTTTCCAATAGTGGTGGAAAGTGCAGAGGCTCAATACTTGATGTTCATTATTAAATTTTAAATTAAGTGGCTAATGAGAACTAATACAGTTGTGGCAAAATAACTTTCAAAGAAGTCTGTTCTTCTTCCCTCCTTTCCCTTGCTGACTGATTAAACTCTGGTGAACAGCAAAATGACTGTGGTTGTTTGGAGGTTTTTTTGGGGTGGGTTTTTTGGTTGGTTGGTTTGGGTTTTTTTTGCTTTTGCCGTTATGTGGTACAGTAGAAGCACTACCATCACCTCTTGAACAGGTGGTAAGAACTTATTAAAATAATTTTGCTGGTTTTAATTTTCAAGTATTTCTTTAAAGAAATTAACCTTACTGTTTAAAACAAAGTTTTCTAACGTTGGCACATTTGTGCATCCTTTGCAGCAGAAGAGTGCTATGCAAAATAACCTAAAAAAACTTCAGCAAGAAATGGCTGTACTTGAAGCAGCGCTGAAGCAGCATGGAAGTCAGGACTGTGAACCTTTACCTAGCCATAGGAAACTGCCACATTCCAATAGTGAAGGAATACTTGGAATGGAACAAATGAGACAAGAAAGAGGTAAATAGCAATTAAAACCTTTCCCAGCTTTCTACAGACAGTTGTGTGACTAGTAATAGTTTTTTCCCTCTACCACAAATTACAGTGTTAATTTAAAACTGATGTGCTAGCAGAACTTTATCTAACTCCAGCTGTTCAGTGAGACATGCATGTCTTATTTATAACTTAGATACTACACTTCAAAAAATTCCTGTTACACATTTATGTCAGATTACATGGTGTAATTGTGTGAGTAGGCCTTGTGGCTTGGCACTGCTAATCCATGTTGCTGTTCTGGCAGTTCCAGTTGTACTCCTGTTTTCTTTCACTGGAATGGGTTAAGGGACTGGGAGAGTGGCTGAACACCCAAAAGGACTTGGCCTCTGGTGCTGTGGTAGAAATTGTACCTTAGCATGTCAGAAAGTAGTTTAACACTAAGAGACTGGTACAATCCATGCTTAGTTAACAAACCTCATTGGATTGCATAGCATTCAACCTTACTGCAGTTTGAGAATATTATTTCATAAGGAGGGCTTTGAAATGTGATATTTCTAAGCCCAGTAGGCCAAATCTGTAAGATAACTATAAATAGACTGCTTGAAGGTGAAGTCAGTAAATAAAGGGTTAGTTTCCTTCAGAGGGGAAAGCTACCTAAAATAATTTCATTAACAGTACACATTTTTATTATGCTAGGATATGGATTTCTAACTCAAAAATTTAAACTGGTGAGTTACTGATGGTTTGATAACAGTTACAGGCATCTTCAGCTAGCAAATAAATGCCTCTCTTCTGCTTGTGAACAGATACAGTAACATGTTGAGGGTGTTCCTGAACAAACTGCACTAAGTAGTGTAAAATTGCCTTTGACCTATCTTATATCCTGCTTTTTCCACCTAGAACATAGCTGATAGCTTAGTTTTGTAGATTATTTGATATGTGAAATAAACTGTAATTTAGCTATGCTTCAAATGGCTTAGAATTTTATGTACATTTCTGTTTTGGGATGCTTTCCTCTCTAAAGTGTATCTTGATTGAGATTTTAGAGAATGCTTGACTTTTACCTGAAGAAACAATGAAGAACAGTTGCTTTTATTTTGCCTGTTTAAGAATTATTTTTCTTTTTTAAAGGGGCAGAGTCAACCTCAGAAGGAAACTCTGAAATTCGTCAATGCAGCGGTTCAAAGGGATTTTCAGCCAATGATTTCCATTTTATGCCAGATGATTCTCTCAACAGTAAATTCAAAGAGTCAGAAAAAAGGTACATGTTTTCTACTTCTGTTCGATTTTTTTTTTTTACTTTATTTTTTAAAAATGAGGAAAAGAAAAAAAAATCTTGAAATGAACACCTTTCAGCTTTTGAGCAACTGCAGTGGCTTAGCGGTTACTGCATGGTTGTGATACTTAATAGTAAAAATGGTATTAAAAGCAATTTCTCTCTCTCAAGGTGCCCAGAATTGTTGCTTCCATCTTCTAAATCCTGTTTGGTAAAGAGACCAAATTTGGAGAAAGGCCTTCAGCGTGGCCGTGGTGTGAAGAACAAAGCTCCTTCTGAAAGGACAAAACCTGTGCAGGAAGCAGCGCAAGAATATCGTCAGTGTCAGCTTGATGCAGGTGACGTTTAAGAGGGATCCAACATATTTTGATTTCTGTTTTTTTGTTTTTTACATACCAGCAAGATAAAACTTTTTTCTTATAAATCAAGGAACTGAATGTATATATTCCTGGTCAATTTAAAAATGTTACTTATTGTTTGGTAGCCCAACTGTATAGCTGCACATCAGGATGGGGTTGGACAACATTCAGTAATGGGAGTTATGATTCGCATACGAGCTCTTGACAGATATTTCTGTCAAGTTTCACAGCTGTTCTAGTGTCTCAGCTAGAGATCAGGAAAAAGTTATGATAGAGGCAAAGATTAAATAATAAATAAGGAAAGAAAGTGACTGCAGCATTTAAACTTTAAAGGTGGAGCAACAGCCTTCCACCATGACTGCAAGAAGGGTGAAATTGTTTTAAGGAGTAACTTATCTTTTTCTTCAGAAAGTGCAGATGAGCAGAAATCTGGGACTAGGCTGAGCACCTCATCTGCCTTATCAAAACTCTCTGGAAATGTGACCAGGTATCCGAATAACTCTTCCTCCTCTGGAAGGCTTCTTAACCCTCAAACTGCAGAAGCAACAAATGGTTCTGTTGTAGCTCAGAATGCCAATAAAAGCTGTACTCAAGAAAGTAAATTGAAGAGAAGCGTGTGTTTTCCTACATCTGTTCTGCACAATCCAGCTGGGAAGGAAAATGCTGCAAGTCCAGTTGTGACTAGTGGGAAAGAAATGTCAATTGTGGCATCAGGTCTGAATCAAAGTGAACATGTAAGTGTATTTCACAAGTTTTAGAGATGACTTATAGTCATTCCAGATTACCACTGTAGTCATCAACGTAGATCTCATATAATGGGAACTGATCAGTAATACAGCAGCTCAAGTCAAACATTCACTCCTAAAAATATGAAGATGCTGCCTGTGAACGGCACTACTAAGCTTAGTTTGAACTTTCTAAATTGCTGCCTACTGTTGTAAGATGAAAAACACATTATTCCAAAGCAAGAGGACTTGGGGCTTGGAGGCCAGAGGGCTGTTTGGTTGGTTCCCTTAATGTTTTCAGATTGTTTCTTTACCCAAATCCTAATCCATAGTGAGGTTTTTTGTAATTAATCAATTCTGAATTGCTAATAAGCCTGTTTCTATGATCCATTTCCAGAAGGAGATGGCTTTTGGTTTATAAACTACTGTCTGAGAGCTGCTCTTTACTTTAGCCTGGTGAATGATGCCAAAATTATTGACTTTTAAGGAAATGTACATTCTGTGTGCCAACACAAATAAAAGTATTACTTTGCAGTAACTCTTTTATTATGTTGTACTCTTATAAACTGGAGTTGTTTGGGGTTTTTGATCTGTTTTGCTAGCTGTTAATTTCCTTAACTACTTTTTAGTTGGTGGTCCAGAAGTTTGCAAGAAAAACTCGAAGCACTTTATCTAGTCAGATTGCTGAAGGAACAACCCATGTCATAATGAAAACAGGTTTGTTGAGAGAAGTGAATAAATCCTATATTTACACACCATATAGAATTTTAATTCAAGGCTTACCGACAAGCAGACTGTTTGGTAATAAATTTGAATAAGTTTTTGAGGAGAAGGTATTCATTGTTTTTCTCTATCACAATTTTTTTTCTTTAAACTTGGGAAGTTTTCTTGTTCTATTTCACAGAATCAGAGTGGGGTTATGTTTTGTTTCCTTGTGTGATACATTCTAAATGTTTTTAAAAAATTTCTCGTTAATAGAAAACTGGAAGTGAGATTTAACTGTGTATATGTAAGTGATGGTAGTTGGTAGTGAAGGTGTGCTTCTGTAGGAACAAAACAGCACTACCATTTCATCATAACTGATTTGTGTGCTTAAATTAGTTTTTGCTCTTTGATAGAGCTCAAGAATTCCATTATTAAAAAGCTTGAAGGGACTCTATAGAAATTTGAGTACAATACTGCAGTTTCAAATTTGACAGATGTATTGGATCCTCCTACAGATAGCATTATATTGACTTGAGAAAAGCATAGCATTCTTCAGTAAAATGAAGTTACTATGTTGCTGTGTCTAGGCATAAGTTATATTTAAGTACCCTACTGAACCCAGCTTTTAACCAACTTTTTTTTAAAGCAAAATATTTTGAGCCAAATCTGGATGTGAGTATGCTAAATACTGTGCTTGTGTTTTGCTTCATAGCAACACTTTTATCTGGCTTATACTGGGATATGATCTATTATATAAGCCTTTCTTGCTTTTGAAAACCAGTGTAGAAAAGGAGCCAGAAAATCCTGTTACTTCGAATCTATGGACTCAGTTTTTCTTTCACTTCAGGAAGTGTATTATAGACACCATGTCCATATGGTTTTGGAGAGGTAGGTCGTTCTGTCTTCACAGAAATAGAGATAGGGTAAACTGCCTTCCGAAGCTGTGCCTGTTCTGGTAGAGTAGAAGATGATCTTAAATATCATCTAGTCATCTGAAAGCATAAGCTGACATAAGCCACCGAATCCTACTGTTAATGTCCTCTGTCTTCACTAGTATTCATGCTTTTTCTTGCCTCATCTTTACTGAATAACTAAAAAGGGATCTAAAGGTTGTGCATGTCATTAGTTTCTACTCAATTCCTTCAGTTTAGTAGAATCAGAGCACTGGAATTTCAGAACCTTTCTGCAGACGGTCTTGATATTTTACTGCTGCACTTAGCAAAAACAACCTTTGCTTTTAAGTGCAAATACCTGAGCCGGTCTTGTTTTGTTTTTACTCTAATCGTAAAACTGAATGAGATCTTATTCTTGTTTGCTTTGCAGATAAGGAGCTGGTGTGTGAACGGACACTGAAGTACTTTCTGGGTATTGCAGGAAGAAAATGGGTAGTTAGTTATCAATGTAAGTATAACTTCTTTTGGAGCTAAGAGGTCTCTGCCCTTCTACCACAAATATGCTCTTCACTTGTTCCAGTGAAAAAATAAATTTAAAAAATCTCTTCATGTCTTGACACTTGGTGTTTTGCAGTTTCTCCTAAATACCTTAAATTAAACTTTTAAAATATATAAACCCCAAACAAAGAGTAACATCAAGCTTCTTATGAAAACCTTTCCTGCTCTCAAATAACCAGGGTGTAGGGGTTTTCCCTACCCTGAAAAAAAGCTTTTCTTCCCTCTTAATTGAAATCTTTGAGATGCATGGAAACAATTAGTGCAAAATTGATATTTTTAAAAGGTAACAACAACAACATCTTTAAGTCCTCTTAGTGATCTTTCCATACTCAATTTTCCTTAGTACACATACCTTCAATTTAATATAGCAATGAAGTCAGATTGTTGGCAGTGGAACAGCAATTTTGCTGGATAAAATGACTTGTTCTGTTCTGATCTTTTTATTTAGGGGTAATTCAGTCTTTTAAAGAAGGAAGGATACTGGATGAGGTAGGTCTTTTAATAGTGAAATGTCAAATGTGTAACCAATGCTGTTGATCTTGTCAGATGCTGCAGGGGTTTCATTACTGCTCTCCATTTTTCTTAAAGCCTTTAATTAAATTTCTGCACACACTTAATTGTAAGGTTTTCAGTTCTGCATCCTGACAGCTCCTTCCTGCTCTGATGCAGAACTCTGACCAGGAAAGTGTTCTCAGTCTCTGACTTCTCATTGCTTGTTTATGTTCTGTTCCAGGAGAACTTTGAAGTTAGAGGAGATGTAATCAATGGGAGAAACCACCAGGGTCCTAAGAGGGCTAGACTGTCCCTGACTGAAAAGGTATGAGCACGTAGGGGGTAAAAATCCTGTCCTGCTCTGACTGCTTCATATATGTGGCTATTCTAGCTGAATATCTTCTTCCAATTTCTCTGCTCTTCTGTATATACAGAGTTGTAAACATTTTTATATGTGAAAGGTGAACTCTGTCAGCAGCAGAGCAGATATGTTCAAGTGACTTGCTATCCTTGTGGTGAATGCTATCTTTTTATAACGTTGGTGTAGGATTGTGCAGGGTTGGGAGTTTTTTATGTTCTTTTCCTTTGTGGGTTACTAAAAGCTTCAGATATACCTTGTGAAACAGTGATAGCTTGATAACCAGTCCTAGAAGTGCAATGAAACCAGCATGTTAAGTATTGTCCTTCAAAGATACCACGTGTTCCTTCTTTTTCAGATCTTTAAAGACTTTGAGATCTGTTGCTATGGACCTTTCACTGATATGACTACAGGTGTGTCATTTTAGTGGAATTAAATGAACTCTTAGCATAAAAAATACTTGGAGGAGGGCTGTGTGTGTTTACCAAAGTTTTACATTTGACCTCTTCTTGGATACTCTTGTACATCTTTTATGCTGAAACTTTCAAAATACCTACATGAGGTATCGTGTGGGTAAAGGACTTTACCCAGCTCTGTCTCCAGATAGAATGGAAATGGTGTTCTCTTTTATTTGGATGTCCTCAGAGAACTGGTCTGGCAATTTTGCTGTATTTTGGAACAGGCCTTTTGTCTACTTTATCTGTGATTCTCTAGCAATGAAGGAAAAGCATTAATATCACACTGTCTGGTAGTTGCTTTTGATGCTATGGAACATAGCTATTTCAGCATTTTTTCTTCTTAGCAAACAGTTCCTAAGTATGGTTTTCCTAGCAGCTGACATTCCTCAGTGTAATCTTCTCTAGCAGCAGTTATTAAAAGTGAAACACACAACAAATCCAGAAGCTTATATACAAGGCAAAAGCTGGGTGGGATAGCTTCTTTTTGTTAGTTTAAAACTGAGTAAAGCGTAGTAGATGTTTTGAAAATTTAAGCTAGAATTTTTCTATTTACAATATTTGTATCTCTCTTCCCATTCTTGTAGCTTCTTCCGCGGGTACTTTCCAGTTTGTCCAATATAACTTTATTTTTGACTAAATGAAATATCCTCACATCTCTTGACATTTACAATAATTACTGCAGAGGATGCAGTGCTTTCACCTGCAGCAGTGATCATCAATTATGACTCTTATAATTGAGATACTTATTTATATTCTTCACTATCAATTCAACAAATTGGTGGAAATTAAATACTTTGGCTACTTCTGTTAATGAGAGATAATCACAGTTCTAACTTCTGATTTTTAGTTTTAATTTCATGTCTTACATCTTTATGATAAGAGGAGATAATTTGTAGTGACTTTCTCTAAGTTTTGGCCATGTGGTGCTTTGCCTTTTCAGGATTTTGGTTTGGTTTGGTTTAGTCCTGTCTGAGGGTGAGGGAAGAGCGAGTTGATGTTCTTCAGCAGGCTAGAAAGTGAAAGGACTTACTCCCTACTAAGACTTACAAACTGCTATCATTTGAACACAATGTATCTTGGAATAAACACCAGGGCTTAGGGAATAGTATCAATTTCAATGTAATATGAAACATTGCAGTAATTGACTTTATCTGATTTCTTCAGAACACCTAGAATGGATGGTGGAGCTTTGTGGTGCCTCTGTAGTAAAGCAGCTTCATCTGTTCACACACACAACTGTAAGTGCTAATGGATGTTACACTTAACATAGCAAGCGAGTATAGTTATGCAATACACGTGTTGGAAGATTACATGGTCTTCATGGGCTTGGCAAAGACTGCTGTGTACAGGTACGTTAGGGAGATCCGTCTGCACAGTGACAGCACCAAGCTCCATGGCAGCAGTTCTTGTGTTCTGGGCTCTGACTAATCTGTACTAGATGACAGCCTAATCTGTAGTGGAGAACTGATCAGAGTGCTGTGTGTAGGCCTGCAGGCCAGATAGCCAAAATCTCAGCTAAAATGGCTGTGAGCCTCACCAGCACAGAAAGCCTTTAGTGCCTTGACTTAGTCACAGCATTTTTGTGAGAAAGCACAGGAAAATCTTAGGAACTAATATCTTTCTCCATCTACTGCCACTTCTTGAAGTTCTCTCTGAAATGCCGTGAAGCAGAGTTAGCTCAGTTATTGCTCTCTGCATAGAGGTGTGAGTGTGACTTAATGGCAGACAGATAACAGTGGCATTTTAATTTTCTGATCTTGAAACCCTAGAATTCTACTGCTGTCGTGGTTGTGCAGCCAGATGCTTGGATGGAAAACACGGATTACAGAGGTAAGACAACGCTGTCATGGAATGTTTTATGGTACACATTGAATGTCTTTATCACCTCAGTCCTTTTAATAGTTAAATATCAGAGTTTTGTAGAGGGATCAAAATCCTGCTGCACCTGGAGATGGAGGTATGTCTTGGAAGAAAAATCTGGAAGGGCAAGCGATATTATTTCAAGGATCAGCAATAGAGCCTTAAGGCGTAGTCTGGCAGTCAAATCGTATTCCTGGCTCAGTTGTCCTGCGTATCATCAGCTTTACAGACACTGCTCTGTTTGGAGGTAGTTTCTAAAAGGTGAGGAAGCTTGCCCATGGAGGACTAGTAAGATCTAGGAGAAAGCCTCAGATGGGACAAGATTCCCTTGGTCTGGGAAGGATATCTAGCTACAAAGGCAAAGCTGTATCTGTTAATGCTTCCTTTTTTTTAATCATAATGCTCCAGAGAAACCACGTGGCTTTGAAAGTGCAAGTGTTCCAGACTAATTTACATTGAGTTAGTGAGAGTTCTGGGATGAATGGGAGCTAGTTAGGCTACAGTGGAGTTCAACAAAAAAATGGAGCAGAAGGATGATGTAAAGACAGCTGTTTTCATGGCACTGGGAAAATGACAAAATAAAGGAAGAGATCATGAAGCAGTGAAGAACAGCCTGGGAGCACTTCAGTAATTTTCTGTTGCTTCTCTCTTAATGAGCCTCTGCTTGTCACATGCTCAGTATGCCTGAGCAGACAGGAACTGAGGCTTTGTCACTAAGGTACTGAATTAAAAGATAACAAGGACTGCACTCGTTGTTTGTCATGTTTATTCTGTTGTGTTCAAAACTTCCTGCCTGCCTGTTTGCCAAACAGCTCTTCATTTTGGAGTAGAGCCACATCACTGGTTTTACACTTGGGTTTTTATCAAGGCCTTTAAAATGTCAAAGATAAAGCAAATAGCTTAATCTGAAAGCTCACCTTAAGCTTGTTCAGACTCATTGATAAGTTTTATTGTCTGTGTCTTTGTCTTACAGCAATCCAACAAGAGAACAACGTTGCCATGGTGACTCGCGAGTGGGTGTTGGACAGTGTTGCCTGCTATGAGTGCCAGAAGCTGGATGCTTACCTTGTGTCCTAGGGGCGATCTGCAGGTTTTTTTCCATTGCTCAGAAATTCTCATCAGTGCTGATAGTTTGGCAATTATTTTAAGGACTGAGAACATTTAAGTCACTTATTCAGAGATTATGTGCATGTAGTGTTCTTGTTCAGAGTAAAGTAACTACATTTTTATTACCGATAAAGTTACTTGAACAACTTTACCATATAAAGATGGAACTACCCACTGTTCTTTAAAGATTATAATGTCTAATTTCAAAATAGTCATTTCAATTAAGGTAAAAGAGATTTGAAAAGTTACAAGATGTAGAACACAGCCTCCTCACAGAAATGGTGATGTATTATTTATCACTGTAGCCAGTTCCTGTTCATATCCTTAAGGACATTTTGAATACTGTCATTTAAGAGTAATATTGAGCTCAGGGCTTGAATTAAAACATACTTGCACTCCTGAGTAACCTCCATATTTTAATTTTGCATTAATGCATACCATGAAGAAGGGTGTATGCCAATACAATGGAATATTATTCTGTGATTTCTGATGGATCAACCTGGTCAATCTTAGGCCATTAGATTATAGCTGTGTTGAAAACTATACAAACACTCTTCTGTTGTGTATATAAAAGTGCCAGCTTGCCCTAACCAGGAAATTCATCCACAAGTACAGCCCGTGAAAAGATAAAAACAGATGCACTTTAGTATCCCAGAGACTTATAATCCACCCTATAGAAATCTGCTTCTAATAGTCCCTGCCTGCAAAAGGAGACTGCAATGAAAATAAAATGCTTTTTATGGAAGAAAATATGTTGCTTGTTTCTGTTGCTAAGCAATTCAACTTCATAAGTAATTTTGTACTTTCAGAGCAGAAAGAGAACTTGTTTTTCATAAAGTTGTTGTTTAATGAAAAAAAATGTAGCTTAGTTCAGAGAATTGTTCAGTGCTCAGATGCTGCTAGGTTGTCTTAAGTTACAGAAAGTATGCTGACAAATACTGGAATGCTCAGAGGAAATAAAATTATTTTGGCAAGTATTTAATTGTTTAGCTCTTTTGTGAATCAGTCACCCTGACTCTGCATTGGGGCATATATGAAAACAACATCAAGTCCAGGTCCTGCCATGGAGGAAGGGAGTGGAGACTTAGTGGAAGAGGTTGAAAATGTGAATTAGAATTTCAGAGCTGGAAGCAGAATTGTAATTTCCATCAACCTGAGAAGCAAATCTGTTATCAAGCATCTTGCAGTTGCCAAGTGGAGGCAAACATCTAACCAGGCATTGCTACTGGTAGTGTAAGTGCTGGAGGCATTTGCTCAGCTGACATAATTTCTTTCCTTCTATGTGACAATATTTTGTAACTATTGAGGCTGTTCAGCACAGCCTCACCTTCAGATCGGTGCCGCTCTTATCTCTCGAGCCCACATTGGTTGTTTTGTGGGTTGGTTTTTTTTGTCTATCATCTACATTTCAAAAGATAGCTGGGGGGACAACTAAATGCTGCCTGTTAGGTGCATGTAAAAGGCTGAGCAAGGCTGTTTTGCATCAGCCATTGTGAACTTGTTCCTGCGCTCTGGACACGAGGGTTGTCCTCTCTAGCAGTGAGGTTCCAGCTTCCCCCTGGATGGCTGCAGGAATGGCACCTGTCATGCTTGCTGCCTTCCTTCCTTGGAGGTGACTCGACTAGATCTGCTGAAACTGTTCCTAATAAATTAAGTATTGTCTGTGCACTCTTGTAGTAATTTGCATCTCATTTAAGATTTGAATGAAGTTAAATGGTTTGAATAAGCGGAGACGTAGGTAAAGGAAAGGTATGCTTCCAGAAGTGGACAGTTCAAGGAGAGCTGCTGTGGCCTCCATCATGGGATCCACACTCTAGTCTAGCTTCCAGCTTTGGTATTAATGCCCAGCTCTTGGAGCTTCTCAGCTGCTGTTTGTGTTGGAAATGCCATTTCATACACAAGGATCAAGCTGTGTTTTCTCCCTCATGCAAAAGCAGCTTGCTTTATGATGCCTCCTAGGGTGGGAAACCTCTGAGGTGAGAGTATTTTTAAACATGGCTAGGCCATGCTGTGCCTCTTACATTACTTACCTGAGGGTAACAAGTAGCAGAATCAATCATCATTGAAGAACCAGACAGTTCAAGGGGCTGCATTTGAACTGCCCTAGTATGCAGCGTGTGCCTTGAATGCTGTTCACTAGAGCAAGGGAAGAGACAGAGGGAGGGCTGGTGCTCGCTAGGTTTGCCTGAGGCTTCACCATCAGGTAAGTATTGTATTTGTAATTAAAACTGCTCTGCTCTTGTAACTTTAACAGGAGCTGATCTTGATGCAGCTGTGTCAGGGTTTGCTTCAAGAAGCCCACACTGCCATTCAGTGCATGCACACTGCTGTGGCTCCAACTGCAGGAGGAATCTGTTGGACACGGCTTTGGCCCAGTCTTTCTGGTTAGTACTTTCTTGACATCATCTTCAGGCCATGCTTTCTCTGGACCAGCAAGAGCTGGTGCAATTGAATTCTTTCCTTCCTCTTTTCTCTAGGCTATTAAATGCTAACTAATTCCTAATGTAAAGCAGAGGAATCTACTACTTTTGGGGAATAAAGTGCATCCTGTGCTGATGAGAGCTAACCTTGCTGCACAGCATTGTTGCAGCCTGGTCCTTTTTTCCCTTAAGTTGCTGTTGAGAATCCTTAGCATCTGATTCTGGGTAACACATTTTGCCTGATGCCTGGCTATGCTTGTGTGTGGTTTCTACTGTTCTTTACTTTACCAAGCCTTCAGCTATGTAGAGTAGGAATCACAGCTGTAGCACCAGGCAGGGTCATAAAAACATTTAGCCTGGATCTTGCCTGCTATAGCATCAGAGATCAGGCACAGCCCCAAGCCTCAGGCCCTGAGGGGGTGTTCTGGGGCTCTGTTCCTGCCTTTTCACCAGCACAAATGAGCTGAAGTATTTCTGCAAGGCTGCCTTACCCTACCAGAGAAACTGTTAACAAGCCATGGGGGGGCAGAAGATGTCCAGGGCTTTTTTTTTTAATATATGGGAACAGATTCCTGGTTAAAATTCATGTATGCTAATTAGGTATAGCTTTGCCTTGCATCCTTATCAGCCACACTGATGTGGAGGCCAGCAGAGAGTAAGCAGCTTGTTACCAATTCAGACTGTCCTTTACATTTTGCTGCTAGGCAGCGTGGAGCTCTGCACTGACAGAGCCCACTCAGGTTACATTAATGTCACTGGGATAAATGTGTAATTGCTGTTTACTTCATAGCTGTTGTGGAGGCTGCAGACTGAAGCAACGGGGAGAAGTCTGTGGACTCTAGGGGGTAATTAAGGATCAAAGTAAAAATAACACTGAATAGTTAAAAGCCCTTTGCATTTGGCAATATTGAATTTTGATGCAGGTTTCTACTGCTTCTCAAAGGGAGGTTCTGGTCCTTAAGAAAACAAAACAGCAGACTTTCTCCTGGAACATGGTGCAGCACATCTGTATCTAAAATGTTGTGCAGTGCCTCTGATGCCTTCCTCCTCGCTGTACCAGATGCTTCCTGCGTAAGGGGGTGAGACTGGACCGTATTGTCACTCCTCTGCTTCCCTCCTTGGGCCAGTTTGTTGCTCAGAGCTCTTTGACACTGGAGACTCTGGAGCCACCACAGCTGCTGCTGATGCTGGAAACTCCTGCGTGGTGTGCTCACTGAAGGCTGGGAGAGTCCATGGGGAGAAAATCCAGCTGGGTTTGCCAAGCCTGGAGAAGGCTAAAGCAGTAGGGGGTGGGGTCGAATTGAGAATCCCCTTTAATGCAGCTGCCCAATTATGTCAGTTTTTACTACAAACTGAATGTGCAGGATGGTGCCAGCACAACTGCTGCTTCCACTTGACTCTGCACCCTGGTTTGCAGACTCCTCAGCACACATGGTAATTGTGGTGGTGGTGGCTGTTTGCCTCGAAACCTTGACATTCTTGATAGGTTATGGATGGCAGCTTCAGGTCAAAAGGGAGGTGAAAGAGGGCTTGCTCTCTGTGCTATAATATGGGGTTTTTAGATGCATCTACTAGCAGAGCCTTGTAGTCATTATGCATTGTAAATGAGCTGCTTTGAGGCTTGCTCTAAAAGAATACTAAAGTGGCAAATCCATTTAACGTGTGTAGGAGGCAAAGGAAGGAGAAGACAGCAGCTGGGATTCCCACAGCAGGCCTCGGCTGTGCGGGGCTGTACAGAGATCTCCCTTCTTTCCTGCTTGGAGTTTTAGAGGTGGGGAGCTCTTTAGCCTGAGCTCCCTGCCTTGTCACTTCACTTTGTTGTTCCTGTTTGGAAAGGGACTTTATTGCAAAAGTATATGTTTAATTTATTTGACCTCCAATTTGCCTACCTTCTTCCCCCAGAGGAGAGGTAGGCCCTTGCTTTTGGGACCGATGGCAGAGTTCGGGGCGTGCTAGTGTGGCACAGGGCACTGTCTGTCTGGAGTCTACACAGCCCACAGTGGAGCGAAGATTCATGAGATTTGTTAATTTATAGAGAGTGTCCAAGGTGCTGTGGTGCTGGGACTGGTGCAAGCTGGCTAAAGGACCCTGGGCTCTGGCAGGGGTGTTGTGCTGCTCCTGTCTAGATCACCAGGGTTGGTCACTCAGCAATCGTGTAAATAGTGGCTCTCAAAATGCTTTACAAATATGATTGATCCTTCTCTCCTGTTCTCTTCTGCTTCGGGCTAGATGTTACTGCCCCTGCTTTGAGTTGCTCCTGGTCCTATGTAGATCAGGAGCATTTTTGTGTACCAGCTGCAAGACATCCCAGCCCTCGGCATTGCCTGTTTGACAGACAAACCTCTCCTGGCCTGGGAAAGGAGACTGACAAGGGCTTGAGGGTGGCTTGGGATGGCAGGGATTTGCTCAACAAAGGTACCTCTTGCAACAACTTTATTCTGCTGCCTTGGACTGGCCTTTCTGTGGGTGTCTTATATTTGAAGTAGTGTTCTTGAGCTCTGTAAAGCTGTACCTGACCTACTAATACTGCTGATGAGCAGCAGTGACTAC